GAATACATGGAAAGAAGATAGTGGGCGCATGTTTTAGGGAAAATTCTTGTTTTTCATGGTTTTAAGCTCTCAGTCTTAAGGCTACAGTTAAAGTGGAGCTCTCTATCATGAACCACAGTTGCAAGCTTTTCTCTCATTGGTAATATAGGCTTATATGTGATGTCAGGGACTAGTGTTTTTTATGGTTCTCTTTGTATGGCTATGTGCCTATGTGATATCCCATCTGAAGGCGTGGTTTATTGTGTCTTCTTTAATAAGGTTGGCTTCCCTTGGTATTTATTTGATAGGAAAATCTGTCAGTAAATATTTTTTTTAATCAAAATGTGTGAGATAGCACCCTCTAAAATTATTTGTGAGAAAGTATATAAATAGTTATAGATACAGAGTATTAAACTTGGCACATTTTGGCCAGAATCTGGCCAAAGGATCAAACTTCCAACTGTTGATCTCTATTAATTTTCTACTGTCTGTATGTTAAGTACAATTTTCCCCCTCAGACCGGCACACTCCTTTTAATCTCTCTTATCTTCTTCCTCGTGCACCTGATTTTCTTCTCTTCTTCTTTCTCCCTCTCATTCTGCTTTACTTAAATTAGCAATACTTCTTTTCCCTCAAACTTAATGCTACAAAGCCTTGCCAAATCATCAATATAGTACTCCAAAGTCCAACCATTCAAGAATATGGGACTACATAAATAAAATAAAAAACAGGAAGAATACTGTCATCAAACACTCCATAATATATACGCAAATTATTCGCACCAAGCAAAAATGTGAAATTTCTCACCCCTTTATCTTGCTTGATTCTCCTCAACCAAAATTTGAAAATCAAATTGGGGATGAATATTATTGATTTTTACTCAATCAATAGTGGTGGATACTGGACCAACTAATGGTGAATTTTTTTTATTGTCTAAGAAACACCATAAGGCCCATTATGCTGTAAAATATTTTCTATCTTTTGAATTTGGGCAGTTTTTCACTGATTGCTACAAAACCACAAAATTATTGGTAAAGGACTTGGAATTTATGTATGACGGAGATACATCTAGTAAAGGAGATCGTGTAGAGGTCAATATTTGGGGCAAATTTCTGTTGAAGGGTGCTTTTTTAGGCATTATGTTGGTCTATTGTGAGAACAAAATTCAGTGAAAGAGAGAGGCAGTGGAAACACACAAGAAACAATTTAGAGGGAGGAAAACGAGTGGATTTTCCATAATGTCATGAGAGAGACCGGAAGAAGATAAAAACAAGATCAGTGGGCTTATAGAAGATGAGAGGTGAATGGTGAGAGAGGAAGAAGATGAGAAGAGATAAAGAGGAAATAGAAGGAGCAAGATCAATGGGAGGAGATAGAAGCAGCATGTTTGAGGAGATATTACAGGAGTAACAAGATTATACTTCAAGTGTGGGAATAGAAGGAAAGGCCAAGGGTAAAACAACAAGAAGTTTGACTTTTAGATCAGATTCTAGCCAAAAGACACTATTATTTATAAACATGTTTTATAAAATGATTCCCCACAAAAATTAATTATAAAAGGTGCTATCTCACAAAGTTTTTGATTTGAAGATTATTATAACAAAATTTCCTCTTAAGATATAGTTCCTTGTGACTTAACCCCTTCACTCCAAAAAAGTGCACATAACCTTAAGAAATTGGGATGGAGCAGTTTGGTAACTGACTATCTTGATTAAGAAGCTATCATGATGTTGATTGAGATCAGTCTGGGCTTTGAATTTTTCTGTATCAACTCTAATGATGTTGGTCTTGGTCATTTAAGTTTTTCATTTAGTCTTGAGCATCGACATGTTAGAAGATGGTTGCTACTCTTTCTTCACAATCTGTACCCAATTTTGTGCTGTCCAATCCATTGCTCCCTTTATCAAATGTATTTCATTCTTGTGCATATTTTACCTGTCAAGTATCAATTCTAGACTTCTAGCAACTGTTTCGTTGCTTGAGGAAATTGATTAAGTGACCCTTTCTCAAGATATCGAACAGATTATTGTATATGTATGGTTTCTCTTCAAAACTAGCTTGAGAGTTATCGAAAACTTATCTACTTTACTCTTCACTTTACATTATCCCACTTTTTGGTCAATTGGACATGGTCACACAGCTAAAGGTCATATATGACTCAATTTGAGTATATGTTTGATTGCAAACTTACCATGGCTAAAAACTTAAGTGAGGAGGACGGTTTTATAAATTAGATAACTTGTGTGGGGATCTGGAATTCTGTGTAATTTGGTATAGACTGATTATATTAAGAAGTAAGAACAGATATTTCTGAAGTTTTTTGTTATTGTTGACTTCTGGTTCAGATTTTTAAATGTTTATTTTACCATGACAGTCGTGTTTTCATTGGAGATGTAGTGGTCCTGAAAGACCCTGAAAGCCCAAAGGACTATCTAGTCAGAAGACTAGCTGCCACTGAAGGATATGAAATGGTCTCGAAGGATGAAAAAGAGGAGCCTTTTATCCTAGACAAGGATGAATGCTGGGTTCTTGCGGACAATGAAGCTTTGAAGCCAAAGGTACTGTCTTTTGCCATGTCTTTTGTAACAAACTTTGGCACTCTGCTCATAAACCTGCATTAGCTTTTAACAGAACAGTGTTTGAATTTCGTAGCATACTATCTAAATGTTGTAAAATTCATGTTATATTTAACTTTCATATGAATATATTTTCAGCTTTTCTTTTGCCATTTTAACAGACCCTAATTTAATCATTTCATTCCATTAATCATTGCACAGTTTTTTGCCGCCTGTTCTTGTTCATTCTGGATTTTCCTCCTTTCTATAGACTCCATCTTATATTATACTTCAGACTTGTTTTTGGCATTGAAAGTAAGAATAGTGGTGAGAGTAAAAAAGAATAAGAAAAAGGGAGCGGTAAGGGAAAATATACTTGAAAAGACAAGTCTGCAATTAGCTTGGGATTGTCAATAATGGGTAGGGTGCTAAATAATATGGGACATTGGGAGTAATTATGAGTTTATGATTTAATCGGTTACTGTTCCTGACCTTCTGTACAAGTCCTTTCCATATTCATTCCCATGAAATAAGGATGTATCTGTGTACATAGGAATGGATGTGATGTGGAAGCTTGCTCTAGAATTTATGAAAGTCAGAAGAGGCTTGGACTGGAGTGAGTAGCATCCTAAATAGTATCGTTTGTGTTTACTATTACTGCAATTTTGATCAATTTACCATGTCCTCAGATGCTAAGCAATTTCTGACTTTTATTATCCACTCTCTCCTACCCCCACCCCAACCCCCTGAAGCAGGAAGCCAAGGACAGTAGAACTTTCGGCCCAGTTCACATGTCAGACATTATTGGTAGGGTTATATATTGTTTGCGCAATGCTGTTGATCATGGTCCTGTGCGAAACAGGTATGTGCATCCATTTACTTCATCGTGTTTTGTTTATTGTAAATTTACCCAAATACCTTTGTCAACTAGCTTAGTAATATGTTGAAATATTTTTTGCTCAGTGAGTTCAGTGTCAAGAAGGATTTGCCCGTATTAGAAGTTGAGCTTGATGTTGAAGAAATGGCTAAGAATCACAAAACTTAAGTTGAATCAGCCAATGTGTTAGAGTTCGTTGGATGGGGTTATGCATAACCAACCCCCTTATAATTCGTACATCCTGGCAAAATTAGGGCCTTGCTGAATTGTTTTGTATGTACCCTCTTTTTTTTTCTTTTTTTTTTTTTACTTTCCGATCACATCTTTGTGGCGAAAAATATTCATTGTTTAAAATTACTTTATGGAGAGAAGAAACTAAAATAATGAAGAGATGATTCTAAGTTGCTGATGAGATTGACACTTTTGGTTAATATGGTGTTTTCTTCTTGAAAATTTGAGGATGGCCAGTATCCGATTTTGGATTTTAAACTGTAATCTGTGCGATAATGTTCTGAACGTTTAAGCGCAGTTGATTATCCATTCAATTTAAAGAGCTATCATGTACTACATGTCTTACATACCTCACTTTCTATGAAGAATTTAATGGAGCGAAGTTTGTATGTGGTCGAAGAGGTTAATTTACTGTGAATTAACCTTGCACTTCATTTTTCATCTCCAATGTTTTCTGAGCCAAGCAGGGGGTAAAATTATTTCATCTATTATTGCTATATATTGGAATGCATATAGAAAGACATATCTCAGCCATAGATAATTAGATTTTACAAAATTCAACGAGTGAATCCTATTTGTAGTCTAGAGGTTTGGCTAAGAAAATAAGAATGAGAAGATTTGAAGATAAATCGTGGGACGTGGGTTGAAAGAGGAGTTGGTAATTTCTAGTAGTTATATTATTCAGACTTAGGTACTTGTGTCAGATATGGATACGTGTCCAAGTGTCTAATTTAGCAATATTGTGAAATTATTCCATGATTTTGGCCCAAAATGAAGTATTTAAGTGTATATTTACATCGAAATGTTAAGAATCCAACATGAATACTTGAGGTAATAATTTTGTGGCCCCTTTGTAGCCAATGGAGTATTGCAGACTCCAGAATAAACATACCATGTAGCTTCTGCTTGCATTGTATTGCTTCTTCCTACTGAGGCAGAAGCCTTTACTTAAGCTCGAAGGACCTCTTAGTAATGCCTATAAGCTTCAGAATATCCCTTTAAAGACACTATGATATGAACAAATTATTTTATTAACAGCTAATGAAATCAACTCCAAATGAATACCAACAATAATAATATGTGAAATTATATAGTGAAAACATAGAAATATAACTGATATTTTACCATAATAAAAGTAAATCACATGAGTTATTCCATACTCTACTATTTTAGGGGCGGCAACTTGGTTATTTCAAAAAAAAAATAAAATAAGGTAATACAATAAGTAATAATGAGTTAAAATATGGATATTTATACTCGTATTACATACTCCGTATGTGATTTGACTCGTAAGTCATAATGTCTTATATGTTCTTGAGAATGTTACACTTAATTTGAGGCAGACATTTTTTTTTTTTCCCTTCCTAATTACGCCAAATAGAAAATACAAATCAGATATATAGTTAATTTTGTTTTCTTTAATAACCGGATATATAGTTAGTTTATTCTGCCGTCAATTTGCTTTCAAGTGAAGCAGACCTCCTAATCGTATACAAATGCGAAAAAACCGCCATTGAAATACTCATTTCAAGGTCATGTCTCGAACCCTAAATATCATCTCCAACAACGTTCAAGGTATTTTCTTTATCTTTTCTAACAGTAAAATCACTTATCGACTCTATTTATTTAATTAATTTCACAATTTTCTGTCTAGTATCGCCTTTAAATTGCCTATTTTCATCGTCTATGATCATTAGCTTCAATTTTATTTCTAATTGTTTTAAAATATTTATATTCCCTCTTCTTCTTGTTTAAATTTTATGTTCTTGACAAAAAGCAAAAAAAAAACTGGTTTTTGTGTTATTTTCTGGGTTTTGTTTCTTTGTTAATGACTCAGTAGCTAGAATTTCGTCAAATGGGCATCTGGGTTTTCACATATTGGTTATCTGATTTGTGGGAAGGTGTTGTTTTTCGTTGAAATGTGGTTTTAGTAGTGAATTTAGGTGTGTTTGGGAGTTACAGATTTTGCCCACCAGGTGTTTGATGAAATGACATTAGATTAATTCCTGTTAAAGCAGGGCTCTTTGATAGTTTTTGGGGCCATTCTATCAATCTAGATAAAATTAGGTGTATTTAGGGCTGCTTAATTTGGTAAAGTAGAATTTGTTATGGCTCATACGGGGCTTATTGCAATGAGAAATATAATGAGCAAGGATGGCTTATTGCGACTGCGTTGGTGGAGATATGGCATCAATCGCTCAAAACTCAAAAGTAGTGTTTTTTGTAATGTAATAGCAGTTCTTAGATGGGTGTATGTGTGATTTCGACAAAATTTTGGAGATGACATTGCAAGTCTAAGACCTTATGCATTGATGAAGGAAGAGATGGGAGTGTTGTCAATGGAGAGATCTTTGACTCATAATTCTTAGAGTTTACCAATTCAAGAGGAAATGATGAAGAGAAAGATGAGAGTAATGCATCAGATTTAGATTTTAATTGTAATGGACAGAGAATTTATTACAAACAAATCAGCTTCTGTAATTATGCCATAGTTTAGCTTCCGTCTTCGTTTGAAGTGGTTGGAGCCATGGAGGTTAGGAGAAGGGGTTGGGAGGACGGAGGAACTTGTTGGGTTATTGGGGGTGCAAAAGGTTTTTGAAGATGCAGGTATGCCGTATACGCAGTAGACATTGTGCAAATGATGATTGATTAATTGGGCTAAAAGGGGAATTGTTTTGCTATAGATGTGTGGGAAAAGCCTTGAATGGAAAGGATTTAAATCATTAAGTGCTGTACGGGTAAATTTTTCTGGAGATACTAGTGAGTTTTGACCAGATTTGGTTTGAGCTTATGATCTGATTTTTGACTAACAATTTGTGCTATAGTGCTGGTTAATTATTAGGTTTCCTTTTACCTATGTCTGGTTAAAATTGGTGTACAGAACTCATGTGTTATTACCTCTCTTTTCTCCATTTTGTAGGCTATGGACCATCTGAGAGCACCTCTCTCCCGTGCTTGGGAGTTTCTGGAAGGGCAGTCAGTGTATCAACTTGTCCTCGAAATGAATATAAAATTTCTCAGGTGAAAATAATATCGTCAAAATGTTCTTTGAAACATAGGTCTTTTATCTGCCAGGCAAATAATGGTGGTTATAGAAGAAATCCAGACTTCCCTAGGCATAACAGGTCTGGATACTCCCGAAATAGGAACCGGTTGAATGAAGAGAAGGACAGCTCTGAGAACCTTGATGAATCTGAGTTCTTATCAACTAAAAATGGGCCGTTACTTTCTCTTTCTAATAGCCCAAAGTCCCAGGCTACTGCTACCCCAGGACCAAGAGAAAGGGAAATAGTTGAACTCTTTAAGAAGGTTCAGGCTCAACTTCGACAAAGAGCAGTTGTCAAGGAAGAGAAGAAGCTTGAAGCTGTCAAAGGGCAAAATAAAGAGAGCGAAACAGTTGATTCTTTACTTAAGCTTTTGAGGAAGCATTCAGTTGAGCAAGGTAAAAGAAAAGTGAATGGTGGTGGTGCAAATGATTTCAATTTTGATCATCCAAGACAGAGTGGGCAATCCAACGAGGAAAAGAGCAAAAGCTTTTTCAGTTCCAGTAGTATTGTTAGGGAAGAGCCTCAAGAAACTAATAAGCCTTCATTTACACGCCCACCATCTGAATTCCGGCGAAGGTCTCCAGTTCCTAGGATCAAGTATGAGCCAATTGTCTCACATTCAGATCTTGATGTAAGGACGGATGAAGAAACTCTTAGTGAACTTGACCCTGAGGCTGAATCAGATTCTGATCTGGAGCCGGATATGGATCTGGAGTCAGGGCTAGAGCTAGAACATGAAGAGGAGACAGAGGAGGAGGCTGAGGTAGATTTGGAGGTGGAAGCTGAATTTGTGGAAAGTCCTACAATAAGTAAATTGTCGGAGGCTGAGCTTTTAGATGCCGAAGAAGATTTTATTGACGAGGAAGATGCAGAAAAGGAGCATACTGAAGACTTGAATGCTATGAAGCTAACGGAGCTGAGGGCGCTTGCAAAATCTCGAGGCATGAAAGGGTTCTCGAAGTTGAAGAAGTCTGAGCTTGTTGGTTTGCTCAGTGACGATTCCATGTAATCCTTGATGAGTAATGCACTTGTACTCGTCTAGAGATCAATGAGATTTCTCCTTTTTGGCTTTGCATATCAGTGTTCAGTTAGGTGAAATGAGTTATTTGTTCTTTAGGATAGGCGCTGATAAATTATTTCCCTCCCTCCTGTCAAAATGTTTGAATCTGGATACCAATTTGTTGTCGGTAAACTTGCTATTTTAGTTGGTTTTCTGTTGGGCTAGGAAGGAAATTCAGGATTTGTGACTGGATTTTTCTTGTTTTGCATACTTGCTCCCAATCTGAACTTGTTAGAATTTATTAAAAGAATGCGATAGCCCTTGTCATAATTCAAATTTTTTGCAAGAAATGAGATCTTAACATGCCAAGCCCAATCTGTTCTTTCCTTGGCTCTGCTCACTATGTATAGTACACTAAAATAATCTATTATCTATATAAACCAAATAAGTCAAATTCAAAATAATAAACTTTCAAGATAATTATTAAAAAAAAACTAAAACAAATCAGTCGAACATGCTTACGAAACTAAATGAGTATAGACTGTAGAGTAGTATCCCAATTCCCAAGGCATTGTGTGGGTCAAATACTAATTAGTAGCTTAATTATTTACAGCCAAAAAGATTAGTAATAAAACAAGCTGGCTCGGGTTTGAATTCCTCTTAGTTCAAGTGATTTGGGATAAAATCAATTCAAGTCACTTTGAGTATCGAATTACTTTGATTTGAGCGCAATTGATTTGGGTCACTAAGTATCGAGTCATAAGATTGGAGTATATAATCTATCACCTTTGTAAAAAAGTAGTCATCAATGCAACTAAAAGGCTATAGAAGATATCAAGCATTATTTATAACATTATCATTCATAAAGTAAAAATACTTAAATAAATGTCAAAAAATTAAACTTATAATCTCAAATAATATGTGTCATTATGTGGTTATAGATTTTTCAACCTAAATATTTACGAGCCAGACACTCGAGAAGAAGATATGAGGTAAGAAGCTTACCAAATGAGCCAACACTTTATGGGTCCTTATAATCTAATTATTGGGCACCTAAGCTAGTTTTTCATAAAGTATAAATACAGTTCATTAGCATGAAAAAATTAGGGATTTGTTAAACATCGCCCACAAATTACTACATAAAGCCCACAAAATTCACTTGGTTTGCCAAAATTGCCCTTGACCTTAAAAAAAACACTCACACTCTCATCACTCACACTCTCATTGCTCATCTTCTTTCAACCTCTCTAAAAAAAAAAAAATTCAAATAACGGCAATGTCGAGGCGGCAAGGCAAGGAAGTGGCGGCGGCGGCGGAGGGAAGGATGTCCCAAGGAGGAAAGGTACATTTTGTTTAAAAAAAAAAAAAAAAAAAAAAGGGAAAAACCGCCGTGAACGCGGTGGGGCGCCCTGGCTGGACGCCCAGCCAGCGGTGGTGGCGCCAGATGCAGACGCCGCCACCAGTTGGCTGGCGCCTGGGCTGGACGCCATAGCCACGGTTGTGGCGTTTATTCTAGGCGCCGCAGCCGTGGCTATGGCGTCCAGCCCAGGCGCCAGCCAACTGGTGGCGGCGTCTGCATCTGGCGCCACCACCGCCGGCTGGGCGTCCAGCCAGGGCGCCCCCCCCCCCAATTTTTTTTTTTTTATTTTTTTTTTTTTTAAAAAATTGTTTTTAATTTAATTTTTTTTTTTTTGTAATATAATTTTGAATTGTTTTTATATTTTGTTGTTTATTTTTATAAATTTTTTCAATTTCGTTGTATTTTTTCTACGTTTATATTTTGTTTACAATTAATTGTATGTTTTTAGTTTATTTGATTTGCGATGATGATTATTTATCGTATAAATTTTTGTATGTTTATATATTTTAAAATTTTGTGTAGGGTCGTCATGGTGCGGGGAAGAATATAGAGCTTCTTAGTAGAAGTTATTCAGTGGAGAGGTCGGGGCATAGACATGTCAGATCCCGTGGTATTTCGGCCTCAGTTCGTAGAGAACGGATCCACCGTCGGGATGAGGATGACGATGACGATGATGATGCTGAGGAGGGTGACCAGGAGGAGGAGCAGGAGGAGGGCGCAGATGAGGATGAGGATGTGAACGATGGCAGTGGACCGTATGATGATTACGGTCCATTCAGTCAGAGAGTTGATGACATGTACGAGACGCATATGGTGGAGGTGCGTAAGGGTAGGGGTGGTAGGTTTGTTAGTAGATTTGGCACATCATCTGCGTCCACTGTATCTGGGGCAAGCAGGAAACGGTCGAGGGCCGGTAATGATTCTTGGGTTGTTAGGAGTGAGGTGCCCGGTGGGCCTGTTGACGGGAGTGTGATTCCTAGCTTTCTAGGACACATAGCTGCCCGTATTTGGGAGGACCAGGAGAGGCCTTCAGTTACGGGGTTGTTGAAATGTCATACCCGGGAAAAGACTTGTAGCTTTTTGCGTACATGGGCTGAGGCCTGGCCGGCGGAGAGCGAGATGTTCGAGCGACTGGAGGGCACTGGGGTGAAGCACGTTCCTGCCACCATGCACGATAAGATTGACAGTACGCTGATCACGGCTTTCATTGAGCGATGGCAGCCGGATACAAACTCTTTCCACCTTCCGTTCGGTGAGATGACGATCATGTTACATGACGTCGAGGCCATTCTGGGGATTCGTGTTGAGGGTAAACGACTTTGTGCTGTGGCTGATGCGGATCAGGCAGATTCGCTGGCGGAGTTGTTGGCGGTGGACAGGGCTGCACTGTACACCGAGGCGCTAGGTGTTTGGGAACACGGAGGTGTGAAGATCGCATCCGTGTTGCAGCGGTGTTTGTACCCGAGTGCACGTAGGACGCCCGACGCACAGCTGAGTGCTTATGTTTTTCTACTCCTCGGATGTACCTTGTTTCCGGATAAGAGCGGCGGAAACAAGCTCAGGCCACGCGACATCGTAGAGGCGTGTGACCCCGACAGTGTAGGCCATTTTTCCTGGGGATCGGCTACGTTGGCGTATTTGTATCGCCAACTAGGATTTGCGAGTCGGGCTGACGCGGCACGTATCACTGGGTGTCTGACTCTATTGCAGACCTGGATATACGAGTACTTTCCTGCATTGCGACCACATCGTGACCCAGTTCCTATTGATGAGGGGATGTCGCGTGCTTGTGCGTGGAGTCCGCGCTCGGAGAAGAAGTCCGTTGACCGCCTCCGATCGATACGGTTATTGCTGGACAGGCTGTCCCCCTTAGAGGTAACGTTTATTTATAGAGTCTACATTTTATTATTTGCACATATTATATTCATGTTATTAAATTTTATATGTTGTTATTGTACAGGTGAACTGGATGTCTTTCGGCCCGAACCCTAGTGTTAGGGTACCCAGGACCCTGTACACGGGACTCATTCAATATCGTGACATCGTCGAGGCGTACATGCCCCGGCGTTGTCTTCGCCAGCTTGGATTTGTCCAAGTTGTCCCTCCTCCCCCGGCGTGCCCGATGAAGGCGGTCCGACCTGCATCGTCGAGGGAGTACGTCGTGGAATGGCCGGATATCATGACCGGGACGTGGGACCAGTTTCCGATGGTGGCCCGCTTATGGACTGCGGAGTTGCAGCGGCCGCCCTCTGGGGTTACTCCCATGTGTGACCATTACTACATGGAATGGTTCAACCGGTATTCGCACCCGAGGTTGATCGCTGATCTCGACCGCAGCGATGATGATTATGTGCCACCACCTACTGCCACGGAAGCGGTATGTCTTTTATTATATTTATCGTTGTCTTTTAATTAAGTTTTATTTGTTGTTATTGTATTTCATCTTCTGTTTTTTGTTGTATGCAGTGGATGGGAAAGATAATGCAAGACGTACAGGAACTCTCTCTTGAGAAGGACAGCATGAGTGCAACATGGAGAGCTGTTGTTGATAGTCTGGAACAGACCCTTGCGCAGTGGGAGTCGTCGTCGAGGAGGGATTACTGATGGTTATTGTATTTTATTTATAGAGATGTTGGACATTATGTTGTAAAATTGTAACATTTTAGATTGTTCTTTTAGCTTCCAACTTAAACATATTATCAGTGCTGTTTTTAAATTTTGATATAACCGTTCGTGGATCCGCGCAACTTACCCATGCAACATATAGAATGCAGTAAGCAATACAATATAAAATATTAATGTTCTCATTAAAAGAGCAACGTACAAATAAGATTACAAATAAAGAATGTAAACATGAAAAACTAAAATGCAGCTAGGGTGTTCCATTCGTGGATCCGGTCATTATATAGCGCATCCCAACCCTCTACGCTCGCTGTGCGAATGTTGTACCACCGAGGTATAATCGGTGGCACCGGAAAATCAGTTGACATGTCTAGTCGGATGAAATGTCTGTATGACGACCCAAGAAACGCAATAGCTAGCTCTCTGACCGGTGTGGTGACAGTCTCACGCGACCGCCAAGGGAGAACCGTGGTACAAGGATAATAAGATTGACTATGCACTCCCAGGCCGAAATGCATGACTGCGCATTTGTAAATGTTTGCAACGGCAAACAGATCTAGGGGCGCGTCAAAATAATGATTTTCGCCGCAAGGTCCACCTCCCCACCGGATACGCCGCAGAGCGCCATCCAAGTCATCCTGGTACACATGACGATAAACATTTCGGTTAGAGGCAATTTCGCTGTGCATCAACTCACGCACCAAACCGTAGTTGTCTTCGCCCATTTGAAAAACATCAGCCACGACCCGGAATCCGCAGTTACCATCTCCGATTACATCATTCCACCCTTCCAAGTACGACATGATGATCGCAGGTATCCTTTCCTTGTACGGAAACTGATCAACATCGTTTCTTCCTATTCACCATATAATTAATTATAGACAGTTAAGAAGGCAGGAGTAACACTTTAAAACTATGTGCAATAAAAACAACCAAAACGTACCAGTTCTCAGGGGCATATTCACAGACGATGAAGATTGACTACGACTAGATGACGATGTCCGACCACGAGAACGACCACGACCAAGACCACGGATATACTCAAACGCACTCCTGTTCCGCCGTTGTCGACCTCGAGGACGGTCAACTCCTTCGGGTTCCTCATAATCTAAGTTAGACGGGTGGAACATGTCATGAAGTACATGAGTAGCGTCACGAATAATAAAAGGATGGCTGGAGGACACTCGGTCGTACATCGAACGGAATTGCTCCAACTCCTCCTGTTCACGGTCGGCCGTTTGATTGTCTGCATGCTCACCTGATGTCGTTCTTCTGAGTTTCAATTGAC